AGCATTGTAGCATATAGTACCTTTCAAAGCGGTTAGTAGAGCTTCTGTCACCCATCCCTCTTCTCGTCGTCTGGGTCTTCATCTCTGGACATTCCTTGCGAGTAAGAGTTGCTAGATCTCGTTTTTCAGGATTCTAAACTACAAACTACCGGGGATCACTCATTGATCTCACTCTACTCACTGTGTTTATCAGCACCCTTCAGTCAGTCCTGTCGTCAAGCGTTCAAGCCTTTCAATTTTCTGATGACCCTGAAGTGTGCTGAAATAAGAAGTTTAGTTTTAAAAAAGTTATTAACTATCATTTTTAGTGATTTTGCTATAGAATTTCTTTATAAAATCTATCGAAACTATTCACATTCAAAAGTGAAAAAATTAAATCGTTCAGGTGTAGCACCCTTTTGGTGCCTAGCTTCCATGCCAACGGGAGGAGGAACTAGGGCTGGGATACTTCCAGTTTACTCAGCCCTAGACGGGATCAGTCGAGATGCTAAGGTCAGGTCGTAAGCAGGCGCCTTAATCACTGAGCAATCTTGACCCCCTCTGTCCAAATTGCATTCAAAGATGCTACTACTACTCACTTTAACTTATCTACGCCATCCCTTCACTACCCTATCATTGTCACAGGTAGTTTTCCATTTGTGTCCCTACATGATGTGTCTTCATTCCTCCAAAAGAGCCATCCCAATGATTCTTCTGGCCGTATCACCCCATTTTTGGTCAACGCAGTTTTATCGCTATTTATTTATAGTTTGTCCATCCTAGAGCATTGAAATATTGTCTGGCTTCTCCCGCTCAAAGAAAACTAAAGTTTACTCGATAAAGTTTAGCGGAAGCCCAACAAAACAATCCAACCACTTCGTAGACTCCACTACCCAAGGTGGCTTTCCATTTTCAATCACTTTTCATGTGAAAAATCAGACTTCGTTGACCAGGGCTGACTGCTGCAGACGATACGGGAATCTTAGCCTCCAAATATTGCTCACTCGTATACCAGTGTGTGGTGATGGGCATACCAAGTTTGTGCTGGGTGTATCATAAGCAATTACAATGCTTGTGTCCTATTCTAAGTACCTAGCACTAACCGATATGACAAGGGAACACGTTGTGACTAGCGATACGGTGTGTACCGACTGTTCGAGGAAGAAAGCAAATTACGACCATGGTAGGAATAAGTCTTTAACCGACGAATATGGAAAAATAGGTACGCAGAGTGTGGGATGAACTGCAGGTAGTTGGTTTGTCACAGGCTTTTTGCAGTTTTGATGCGTCTAGTCTGAAAAGTTGGTCATGTTCCATGATGGGTTTTTTGGATTAACATATGTGCAATCTTATGTTCAGGTGAAAAGCTTAAGTGTAAATAAAAAAATTAGGGGATATCCAACCGATTCAGGTATACGCCAGATATATACACAGGCAGTAATTATTGAAGTCGCTGATTTCATCGCTTGATGGGAGTCTTAATTGCCGCTAGACTTAAAAACCAAATTATCTCTCCCAAATGTTTTTCCATATTAATAAAGGAATAAATTAAACTTTCCTCTGATGCGGCATATCCACTTCCAACGTCCTCACCGAACCATCTTTCAGCGAATTTTTCCTAGATGTCGAGTATCGCCCATCCTCACTTTTGACCAAAATTAGACGACCGGGTCATTTCTAGGTTGAACCGTTTGATTTTTCTCGGTCTACTTGCATCTGATCTTTCCCCCAAGGACCTGATAGACTTTTCTCTTGGCGGTAACAAAAGAGTATCACCTTCATCTTCATCATCATCATCAATAGCAGAAAGGCCTTTAGATACTTTTCAGGGTCATCATATGCGGATCAATCTACCTGGCTTCCACCGGTAGCACATCACTGTTTTACCCTATCTACTTTCTGAAGTTTCACCGGGCGTTTATGGATATGGTTAGGTAATTTTCTTTACTTTAGACTAGAATGGTGCGATCGTCAAAGGTGACCATGTTTTGCCCGATATATCAGGTATAGTAATTTTCAATTCATATGAATAAACTACACTTAGGCTCCTGAGAGCAACTGATTCATCTGTGATGTGTGAGCATCTCTTCAAAACACTTATTATAATTTCTATTCTCCAACTGTCACTGACTAAAACTACTACAACGCACCCATTGAGTAAGCTATTGCCGTAATAGGTATGCGTTAGATGTGTGTTGGACACCAATTTAAGAGAATCTCCCATCAAAAGCAAACTTCCAAAGAGAAAATTATGTGTTCTTGGAGCTATTCTTGAGTACTAGAGGCTATCCTGTAGTAGGGATTTATGACGACGATGCCATTTGCTTTGGACCGTTATTCTACAGTACGCAAAAGTACCCAATTTAACTGCCGCCGTTACGCCAAGCCGTTGCATAGGTGAGCTTAAATGAGCACAACATGATTTGGCCGAAAGTTTACCATGTTCGTATTTTTGGACTTCCTACACAATGCAACACGAAGTGAGGTTGGATACTCTTGGGATCAAGCAAGACAGTGTGCTATGGTTTAATGATAATTGCGGTTTCCAGGCTGTAACAGTGGGGTGGATGCTCTTTCGCGATTTTTACTCAAGTCTGACTGCGTAACCCTTAACATACCCGCCCAGAACGATCCAATCACTATTCACACTCACCAAATGAATCACAAACAATGTATCCTCTGAGTCAAGCAAACCGGTTGAGCCTCAAAAATTGGAGTTCCGCCGAGAATAGACGCCACTCAAACCAATGTTGTGGTTGTCAGCAAACATACCTAGTGTGCAAATAAGGTACAGTCATCTTTAGAGAACGGCAAGTGGATCCATGACTTGTTTAGCTTCGTTTGGGCCATGACGCGTTTTAAACTGAAGACATGACCATCCAAACGGTACTGAATCGTTATACTATCTTCATAACCACAAACCAATTTTGCACAAATCGTGTTTGGCTTTAATGTAGACAGAATGGGATCCAGAACGTGGCGCTACCTTATGTACCAATTTTTTACTGGAATTTTGTGCTTCAACCTTAAGAATTAGACGATAGCATTTGCTAATGATGACCATTTTGCCGGGAAGCTGAGATTCTAGAGGACTGTCTACAGCACCCATCCTATAACTCAATTAGATGTGTTTGCGAATTGTAGGATAGGGAGAAACACAGTTGGTGACGCTGCATGTGAGGTCGGTCCTGCTATATCCACTGCGGAACCCATATTGTTGTTTGAGAAATCCATCTAGAATACCAGCGTTTAACTGGTTAGCAAAGAGTATGACTGGATATTGTTTTGACCGGCCGCATTTCGATTTGCGTCTGCAAATAATTCATGCTATGTCACGTACCACCTTTATTATGAGAAATATCTTGGGACGCTTCTAGAGCATTGATATATTCCAGTAGATGTCCATGCCCACCTCTTGTCGATATTAGCGCTTTTGTAGTGTTTAGCCATGTAATATTGGTCGCAACTCCCCTGGTCGTACGAAGACATAAGCTGTTAATATTCTTTGCTCTGGTTTGAAGGATCCGTTTATCTCTATATTTTTCACGGCTGATTACTGGGTTGAGATTATTATGAGAAACGGGCAGATAGTTGACCAACAGAACGCTCGTAGAATTCTTTCTGTTTATCATCTGGACTGGGTTGAACGAGAGGGATGTTCGTGAACAGGGAATTTACGTCTAACGGTCACATCAGTTGATCGTCAACGTTTGAGGATTGGGTGTTGTCCACTAACTGAAAAACAGAGTGTGCTGCTACACTAATCTAAGAGATTCTAAGGTTTACAAGCCCCATTATGCCGCGGGTTTTGTGTGAAGGATTGATCCTGAAGAAAACCCTTTTTTGGGCTTCAGATTTCCGCTAGTCTGGCCATGGCCCTCATTTCGATGGTTAAAACCCACAACTCAGTAGGAAAAACCTTTTGCAATAAGCATTTTGTGTTTCGGACTTTAGGCTAGTTTACTTTGACGGAATGAGGAAAGTCGGATAAACAAAAGGCTGCCAAATATAATTCCTCTGAATAATAGGTTTTCACTGGAATTAGGGTTTGTTGATTTTGATGGTATTGGTTGTGTAAATAAGTGTGTATAGAATATTTCGTCACTCTGCGCACTCTTGTGGTACTCGTTTTGTACCCAAATTACGCAACTATGCTCCCAACAAAGTATCTCTTGAAGATCTTCCCTCTAACAAAAAATTCCATTGACTCTTATAGTCACCCTGACCATGGCACTGCTTGCACTGTATGGCTCAATAAATAGATGGTTGACGAAACACAAAATAGTACTGACTAGACGGCAACATATGCAACAAAAGAACTCAACTTCAACACAATAGTACTTTAATCCCAGTCATAAGGCTGTATTAAAGATGACCAGTTGAGGTGGCATAAAGTGTTTAAAACTTAGTTCAATAGTAGGTTCTCCAATGCTAAGTGTCGCTCGCGTAGGTTTTCTCATTATTTCCTATTTGATTTGTTGTAATCACCGTTTACGTTCCGACCAAGTTGATCTCAACATAAGTCGGTATGGGTCGAACAAACCCACATTTCACGTCTCTCATCATAGAGGAGTGGTGATGAAACCAAACAAAGTTTTTCACGCAACCAATGTTAACAACATATTTTTTGGCATTCAACGAAGCAGAGCGGCCCTATGCCGGTGTCGCTGTTGCTGGTGCATAACCATATGATTCGATCGTATCTTATATTTTAAATGAAGGTTAATGTGTGTGGACACGCAAAGCAACGGAGCAGATGTGAGATCTACAGGATAGGTTCCGTGCCTGTAAAGTAACCTGTTAGTTGTTTACATGCTCAGGACTGGGGAACTTGACTTAGGTAGAACCTCTTCTGTAAGGTATTTTTGTCTCCCTTAATTGCACGTATGAACGAGTGCTTCTTCCAAACGCCTGTGGGAGTGAAAACTGGTTTGACTTTTGAGATCCTGATAGAATAGGAATATCGCACTTTGAGTTTTATATTGAGTGCTTCTACTGTTCATATATCCCTCTACCTCTAGGGGTCCGTTCAGCGTCGTTCGACGATGCGCTCACAAAGAAACAGGCATTCAGTATGCGGTGAAGATTGTTGATGTGGTGAAGTTCACAAGTAGCCCGGGTCTTTCCACTGCTGGTGAGTATCAAAATGTCTTATTTAGTGCTTCTGGTAGCTTCTTCTGCTCATACTTGCAGCGGAGTCTTTAATTTTTGAATAGAATGAGTCAATGTCTTTTGCGTTATCTGCAATGGTGAAGCACCCATGAATTTTCGCTAACCGAGAGTCTCAATCGGCATGTCATAAGTGACAAAACCAACAACCTATGCTTCAGATGATATTACTGATGGACCTGATTGTCATTCATCGGACGAACAGACAAGGGTTACTCTTAGCCTGATAAAAGTTACTTACGGAAGAACATTGAAATGATGGCATGAAGAATAGATGTGTCAGTATTCGGATAAAAATCTCCGGGAAATTTGGAGTACTGTAAATATACCTGTGCTTGAATGAGAGGTTCTCCGTATAGAGATCGTGTTCTCTTTTGAATTCGCGTGACGACCGTCACCCTGCGACGGTGATGTGATTGTCGGACGGGCACTTGATCGGAATTCGTATTTCAGAAAGGGCTAAGTTGATGAATTACGACATGGTTGTTCTGTCACATGCTAGAACGTTGCTCTTGTCTTTTGTTGTCCGTGAATACACAAATGTTCCTCTCGTTTTATCTCCCGTCACATTGTCACGCCCTCGATGTCTTTTGTTAATTCCCCAAACGGTGCTCCTCGTCATTTCTTGTACCGCGCCATCGCAGTAGACGCGTCTATTCGTATTAATCAGCGTTCTTTTCATATATTTTGATTGGCTCTGCCGCAGAACACTGCTGTGGTTTTGACAAACTGCTGTAATTGAGTATCTTCCTTTACGGGCATGTGGATGGTATGGAGAAGGGACGGTGGACACATGTCTCTAGCTATGGTTTTATCCACTTGACAAGGTCACGGTTGGCCTGTTCAGGTGTTTTTTTCACCAAAAAACCTATCCGCAGAAACCCACCAAAACGTTATACCTCAAATATGTTTGCATAACGATATGGGGCTCAACGATAATCAGCAACTGCTCAGATCCCACGTTGGGCGTACCGTGAGGGTCCCCATTGTGGACTAGATTAGAAATCAGAAGTGGTCAATCCTGAGAAAATAATCCAGTATATATCTTTCACCTTGGTTGAGACTAGTCCACTGAATGTCACCTCATCCTATCGCTTCATACTCAGGTTCGAAATTCCCCATCCGTTATCTCAATGAATCACCATCATATTCGTCTTCGACAACGATACACCAGTAGCAGGTGCCGTCACTTAACTGCCTTACAATCATGAGGGAAGAACCACACAATAAAGGAAGGTAGGGTGGTAGAGCAAATGCGCCTAGTCTTTAGGCGAAACGATCAGAAGCAGGTTTTCCACAACTTCTAAGATCAATGGAATGAATGCCCTTGTGGTTTATGTCTAAGTAGGATGCCATCAGCAAACTTTGTTCAAACAGATCAAGTGCACTAAGATAACAGACTTCATCAGGCAGTCCGGCCAGAAAGTGACAGCCTATCTGTTATTGAGACCGATTACCTGGAGTGTTCTATAGGGTTTCTGTCTAGTAAGGTTTAAAGATCCTGCGGTTCCCAGGCTGAGTGTGGCTGTTTCCATGTCATGTTGCTATAACATGCCGCTCCCCCTGCGAGCTCTTCACCAGCAAGAGTTTTGGATGGAAATCAGCACTTTCTTCGGTAGGTCGTGGTTAAATATGTGCAGCAAATTACAACTACCTTAACATTGTTTTATTTGCCGCTCTAGTGATTTCGATTCGTTGCGATTTAATTGTCTGTTCACTTTGCTGCAAACAGGCTGATGCTAACTGAGTTAAACTAAGCTATGAAAGAATCGGTGATCAACTGTTTGGTCTTCTGTAGGATTGCAAAAAGAGTACGCCATGGGTTGCAACGAAATAAACTAAAAACCCCAACAAAGCAGTACTGTTTAAAATACAGGTTCAAAAGTATTTGTTGGCTTTTGAAAGGTATCTTTTTCTGTGATATAGTTTAGCGGACGTTTGTCTCCTTTTGGTCACTCATATTTTTATCAATGAACCCTGTGTGAGACAGTTGAGTTCTCTCTCGGTTATCATGATAGTCTTAGTCGCCTATTTGTCTTGATAAGAATAGCACGAAGTCCATCACAATCCACAAAAAGACTCATTCATCTTTATGTATACTTTGATGCCAGTGGGATTCAGCGTAATCAGTTCAAGAGGTTTCCTTTTGGAACAACAAGAATTAAACACCAAGCTACAGAGCTGGCAGTCTCATTTTGAGGCTTATTAAGCTTACAAATGCTATTGGTTCAAGAGAAAAGATTGCATTCAAAAGAGAGCGTCACTGTTCAACACTACGCATTCTCGCAAATATCCCGTTTTTTGTACGACTAGGAAAGGAATTCCTAATGCGCCCACACGCCATTTTTTAGGTTTCTTGCTTAGTTTGAAATTCTGGATGGAAAGCCCCCGGATTTCAGTTAATAACCATTATTCACGAAGTGCAAAACCCTGTCCGCTCAGCTTGTCAATTAAGCAGCTTGCGCTATACACCTAACTTCTCCAGGCCAGTGTTGTATTTTTTTCATACTAAGAGTTGGTATATCTTCAAACTCTTTGATCACGCGGTGCGCTATTCGTCTTTAAACTGTTTCCCGTCCACTATATTGCTATTGATTTATTACATTATGGTAGCCGTATTGATCCGGGCGAATCGAGCTTTGAGACGCGTCCTTATCTCTGATATGTTAGTTTAGATGTTCATCTGTCCGTCATACATTCCCCGTGCTTCTCAAGATTTCGTTGTTGGATGGCTGTCGTCGCGTTGTTTTCCCATAAACTAATCTACAAGCTTTGTTTACTTCGGCCCTTTCAGCCGAAGCACCCTAATATCTTTTGCTATCTATCATATTCGCCCGATCATGTTGTTGAACACTGGAATAAAAATGTAGTAGACTGAATAATTGAATGGGATCCCAACCCATTCTAGTTTCATTTTGAAAAAGGAGATTTTCCGTACGCCTCATCCTACGTGCGAGTTGGACTCAAAGAAGCAGTCGCCGACACTTTTTTTATTAGCACTCTTATGCAGTGTGGCGTATCTTCGAAGGGCACGCCTATTGGGGTAGATATTTTGCTGTTTGGCCTGCCCGTTTATTAAAGAATTGAGGTAAAAACTTGACGTGGGTTAGCACTTGTCGGCAGAAGTGCAACCGTGTTAGATTTTTTACTTCTTTTGCTTCTGACCTTTAAAAACTAGTAGCTGGAACTTGTGCTTTAGGGTATGTCAATTAAAAATTTTTTCTAGGACGATTGGATGCGTCAATCACAGAACGGATATATTCTTACTCACTGAGCAAATAGACTATTTATATAAAGGAAGAAAGCTGTCAGCTTACCGGATACTTGCTGTAATCTTTATTTTTCGTCCGTATTGTTACAGATTTGAAACGAGAAGCTAGCATTTGTCACATGTTGAAACATCCACATATAGTGGAGCTACTGGAGACGTACAGCAGTGATGGAATGCTTTACATGGTCTTTGAGTAGTAAGTTGTTTGTTGCCACTGATTATTTTCACTTGGAATAATCGCCTCTGTGTGAAATTTGTTGAGGGAAAAAACAATACGTGACATACACCGAACTAGTTCACTTCATCACAAGTTAGCTGGAGGGTAAACTGAAGGGAGCAATGGATTGTCTTCCTGACGGTCATACTCTCCTTTAAATCGATCGCGTCCCACTGTCATGATAATCTGAATATCTGATCAAAAGACAGAACCAAATACTTTGACGGAAAACATTCAGGATGTGCTGGGATACTACAATATACTACTACCTGGTTAACCGAATTGCCCATCCAGAAAAATAAATTGAATGCCTTGGCCGGTGTCGATGGTCGCTCTCATTTTAACGGTCCCTCGTCAGGCTGTGATTCAATCGATGCAGCCGAAGCGTGACTACTCACAAAATGTAAGTAGTTAGCGCAAAGCCAACTATACAGGTTTTTCGCACTCTACACCTGGGAGCCTTTGCTTAATGAACAATGTAGTGCACTATATGTATGTTGCCTGTTGAGGTCGTAACATCTCCGAGTTCAAGTTCACACAGCTGAACAACCATCCGTAGCTCAAAAATAGTTTTCATCCCCATGGGGAAGGCTACGGGTGCGATAACTAACGAAGACAAAAATAGTTCGTGTTACCTGCGAATTCAGCTGTTCCTATTCGCGTTACATTAAGAAGAAAAAAGTGGACAATTGGCTGAATTTCTTCATTTTATGTGTCGAGTTCCTTAGATGACTAGTTATGAATGGGCAAACTATTGTTCCTAACCTTTCACGTACCCCGCGGAGGACCTTATAGTCACTAGACCATAAGTTAGTATTTGAGAGCGACTTGCTGAGCCCTGAAAAATACAGTCGTCCATGCGTTTCATAATAGTTGGAACTGGGTAAGTAGATGTGTTAGAATCGTCCGCCTGCTGTTCAGTTGTAATGTTCACACTCGACCCCGCGCCCATAGGAAGGTTACGTTCACCTGCCTTGTCGCCATTGATTTTGGAAAATTACCACTGCTTATGCATTGCTTTCTGTTTTTTTTTTGTGCAAAGGGAGGTAAGTTCTAGCTGATCAGTCGTATGGTATCTCCCACTGCATATTTGTCCGTATGACACCTAGTTTTTGAGCTATGAAGATAACTTCCTGTGGTTAGTCATCACTGATTCCGGAAAACCAGTATGATTTAGTTTGAACCCCTTTTAGGCACCTAGCTGCTTTTAAATTGACGTAAGAGGTGCCGGTAGCCATCATTCAGGGATATGCTTCTTTTAGGTAAGCCAAACCTTTAAGGGAAGCTAATCATCAGGTACCAATCTACATATCGCAAAGAGATCCTGATAATTGGGTTAGCGACTAGCAACTCCTTCCGCTCAACCAGTCATTTTGATATTATCTGGGCGAAACAAAAGCCGGTTGGTTAAAGTGTTAGTGATTAGGCATCCAGCTCTCAACCTATTACTGCTACAGTAGACGTAATGCATGGGCTATTTAATTCTTCCAAAGTCAAAGACAAATGAGGTGACTTTCTTCTGTTCTTTCAGCATGAAAGGCGCTGATCTGTCTTTTGAGATCGTCAAAAGGGCAACGGCCGGGTTCGTATACAGTGAAGCGGTAGCAAGGTGAGTTGTGGCGGATATTTAGGGTTTGTGCCTGTGCACGCTTTGTTTGCTTTTTGCTCACATTACTTTTTGGCCCTCTCTTCATCCGAGCTTTTCTGTATAGTACAATTAATTTGTAAGAGCACCTTCGCAGAGTTACCCTTCCCACCAATTATACAGGTGCTTAATTGATTTTCGCTGACTCGTAGGGCTGATCCGTGTGCATTTTCGCCTTCAACACCGTTTCATCTTCATGTTCTCGAGCACAGATACTTCAGAGCGCGAAATATTTCGCACATCTGAAGTATATTGTATTCTAGGTGAATTTTAGCTCTCATGTCATGCACTGGAGAGAAAAGTACTCGACATTCAGCAGTCAGGGTGGAAACAATGAGCTGAAATCTTTGTTTTTATCTGGTGCATTTTTTCTATCTATAAGTTCATCCGCTGAAATTCTTCAAGAGTTAAAATCAACGTCGACGGTATGCGCGCCTTAGTTTATTGGTCAAACGCTTGCTCGACAGCTTTTCGTTGTCAACTGTCTAACGTACATACTTCCCAAATTGTCCATTCCTGAAAAATGACCGATTAACTAAATGAAACCGAGTCAATCCAAGTTTCTTTATTTATTTTTGTCTACACTAGCGTTTGAAACATGCTATGGTCGAATAAAGACCTATCTAGGATTTCGGCGATGTCAGTTTCGGGTCCACTCTCCACTCTGCTATGGCTAGTTGAATAGCCTCAGTTGTCCTGTATTTGTATAAATTTGCCAGACAGCATAATGCCTAACCTATCTGATACCTACCCATTTTTTTCATGTGCCTTAGCCATTATCTACGTCAGGTTCTGGAAGCCCTTCGTTACTGTCACGAAAACAATATAGTTCATCGCGATTTGAAACCGCATTGCGTCATTCTGGCAAGTCAAGAAAATTCGGCCCCGGTCAAGCTGAGTGGTTTTGGACTAGCATTCCATATGGATCCAAATACAAACGAGATTTCTGGAGGTGCGTTGTTATCGTTAGCCAAAAGACTATGCATGGCCACATATCATTTGTCCAGCATTGTTTATTTGCTGAAAGTCAACAGGCTTTGACTGACCTGCTGGCCTACAAAAGTGTTCGCCTAAAGCTGGAGTCTAGTATGTCGTAACTACGGTTTTCACGTTTGATACTGAGTCTGTTACTGAGGTCACCACCCCCATCTATGTCCGCACAGATTTCTACCCAGCCATTTTAGTAATCGCAATAACCATCAAACTGTGGTTATGGAGTTTTCATTACGTTTTCATCATGTTCATAGGTCAAACCTCTTGGTCTTCAACAAACGGTCGTTTATTTCAACGCATTCATTTTTGCTCGTCATGATGCAACGTGGTATTCTGAATTTGTTTTGTTGTCAGAACACAAATATCTCGATTGTTACGTAGGTGATTTTTATTCTAAGTGCGAGTCAATATTGACAGAAGAGAATAGTCCTGAGTAATCTCAATCTTAGGGAGCACCATGGGATACTGCATTGAAACTTGGGTCAGTCAGCAGCCTTGTGCAGACTGTCCCTTAGTATTCTTCCAGCGGTTGTGGGGTTTGGATTATCATTTGAATGCGTCCTGCCTTGATCACTCTGGTTTGCCCACGACAAACTTACAACCGGTAAACCAGAGCGTTGCTTCTCTTAGAGCAATCCGGCTTCACATTTACTTCGTCGTTCCTGTATTCGAACTCCAACATGTGAGAAGAACGTTATCCTGTTATCCTACCAGTTTATGTCCAGCGCATCTGAATGTCCACTTCTGGGGAGGGGATGATGTGTGATGTGTTTGGTAGGCCGGACGCTTTTAAAGGTGACCTGGTAGCTGACATTGCTGTGTTGACCGCCGTGTCAAAACTTAGTGGTCGTACAGCGTTGCAGATACTAGCAACTACCCGGTCAGTTTGGTTTAATTGTGAATGATTGTGTGGTCTATGAGATCCGGTACTAATTGGCTTGTTTCACTGGTCGCATCAAATGGAAGAGACCGTTCAGATGAGAGTGATGTAGAAACAAAGTGCTCCTGTCCTCTAAACTCCCAAAAGCTGAAGAACATCAGAAACCAGAGACTCGACTGGATTCAACTGAGTCTTCGGTTGAAAACACATTATTGTGCAAAGAAGTGTATTTAACGAATAACGAACTAATTTTTATGTGTTAGTCCCTCTCCACTAGCATGTTGTTGGCGCTTGTTTCCATACCATTGTTCAATGCGCCGACCACATAATGTGGCTCCATCCACGGCTTGCCAGTTGGAATGTTATTTGTGTGGGAACAGAACTGTACTTTGGTTGTGAAATTTACACATTTTTACCCTGCCTGTTCACACGAATCCTTATTTTGGTAGGTTTGTCACTTGATTTGTCTCCCCATTATAAGAGTTATTCGTGCTAGTCATCAACTGATAATGAACGTTTCTCGAAGTGGGCCATGTAAGGTGCTGTTCTTCAGGTGTGTGCGGGAATCGCCTTGACTGTGTGTTCAACCGTAGGAATTTGCTTCGTCTATGGTTGCCGTAGAAGAGACCATAAATTTTCGAATTGATAATAAAGCATCACGTGCTTACAATGCTAACAGTAAAGCAACCCAAATTATTCGGATAAGTCTGGTACAGACTCGAGATCACGAACTTCCATTCGGCCTCGACAAACCACTCATCTACTATACTCTTGGTGGGACCATCCCATTAGTCGATAAATCCAATTGTACCAAAATCCTTATTGATTTTTTATGGTGTGGCTACCTGTTAATCCTGTTTGGCATGACTTCTTGTCTTTTCTGTTTTAACAGATACTCCGCTAACTGTGGATCAAGAAATTTTCGTTTCCTTACGTTCAGATCAGTGTGGTGAGTTTAGTATTTGCATTCGCGAGTATGAGTTATAGTAGATAGATGTTCAGAAATCTTTAACGGTAGTAGAATAAGTACGGAATGTCCTAAATGGGAATATCAGGTACACATAGTACCCTAAATTTTAACCATGCAAGCACAATCAAACCAACCATAGTAGAAGTAAGGCGCTCGTTTTAAGTCTCAGTGGATAGCTTATTAAGCTGAACTCCAAACACTATGCGTGACAGAATAAACAGTTGATGCCTGATTTCAGCACACTTACACTCTTAGGGTGGTCGCGATCACAGTGGTTCGCATCAATGATTATTCCTATGCTGCAGGAAATGTTTTCACGGTTGTCCAGCTTATGGCGATTTCAAATGCACCCGCAACTATGTCTTCAGTTAATCTGTTCCTTCCGTTTTTACCAAAGGCCGAATCGGTACACCGCACTTCATGGCACCAGAAATGGTTCGTCGTGAACCTTATGGAAAGGCTGTCGACGCATGGAATTGTGGTGTCCTTCTGTTTGCATTACTCAGTGGATCACTACCTTTTTATGGCACTCGGGATATCCTTTTCACTCAGATCGTCTCCGGTCGATACCACGTGAGCACTTTTATCAACTCTATTGAGTATAGGTGGTTCCTCTCCTCCACTTGTTTGCTATGAAATGATGAAAGTATTGCGGCGCAGAAATGCATACGAATGCCTAGTCAAACTGTGCTGGTGATATGAAAATAATTGCGCACCCCCGCCCAGTTTTATACTTTTTTTCGAAATAGGATTTTCAAATAAATGTTTATATGGTAGGGAAACTTCAGTGTTGGACACTGATGTCATACTGTCGATGATGATGATGACAATGATATTGGGCAGCCTTTTTGTTCTGTTGCCGTTGTTGACACTCACTCACTTCGGTCCAATATCTCCGGTGTGGAAACAGATTGACTTCGTCGGTATTTCGAGTCGCTGTGGTCGATAGATGCGATGATTCACAGCAATGATTTCGCATTGATCGACCTAATGACGCTTCCACTTGTGCATGGCTTTGACAACCTGTAGTCTCAATCCTTCGTTCTCGGACATGACAGTGTTGATCCAGGCTATGGTCTCGTTGTCTTGGCGACAGTGTCAATTTTGGAATATTCTCATAGCGACGACGCCTTCGATAAGGATCACATAGGCAGTGACAAAGGCGTCAGAGTCGTCTGATAAAGAAACAGGTCGACTCGGGTACTAAAAGATCGTCGAGTTGGACCGATTCGTTTTGTTTCGTGTTATTCTTCGATAATCTGAGTTGATTCTTCTAATTGACACTTACCAGAAATTCGACATCAAAAAGCCCAAAAATTGGACTCCTGTGTTTGTTTTTCTGCAATCGAGAGCAACTGCGGCTCATTGTTTGATGTTTGTCCATCAGTGTGTAACCACCACCGTAGATTTCCAAACCGAGATTTATGGTATCCGGAATCGTGTGACTTACGCATGACTCAAAGTTCCCTATCGGGAATTCGACAGGACTGAATTTCTTCAGAGCATTTGGTGTACCAGGACACTTTTAACTATGACTTCCCTGGTGTGCTAATCGTGAACCCAAAACTGGACCGGACTGAAACCCAATCTAATAGCACTTCCTACATCTGCAACCTTACAGTGGATCTATTCCTGCCTGGTTCCTTCGTGGCTCGAGCGCAGGACGCTTGCTGAACGGATTTTTAACCGGCGAGAGCAGAAGACACTGTCCATCTCGCCTAATTACGGAACCATCGAGTGACAACTACAGCGAAGTCGGTAGGAAGATATGGGGCTAAACAGGATTTCCTCATAGCTCTCACGTGTTGGAGACCGGTTGATGATACTTCCTCTGACATTTCAAAAAGGGGTCGATGACCAGTCCAACCATGGTTCTTTGAATTCATCATCACCATTAACGGCAATGCTGAAACACTAGCGTTTTATTACCACAAAACGACGTCAGTTCGCTTGAATAAAGCTCTGTTGTACAGAGAAAATGTATACAAGATAGGGAATGAACCTAGCACGAACACACGAGATTACTGCAACTCCACTGACATAGTGGGAATCCACCGAAGTATTCTCCTATCAACAAATGAGCAAAGACAAAAACTTCTAACGGGATAATGTGTAAATTCAAAACCATTTAAATAGCCATTATATGTCAGAGATGTTTCCTGCGGAATGATGTTGTTTCGCCCTTGTGAATTTAGTTGATGTGTTCGACGGGAGTCTTTAAACAGCTCATTCGCATTACATCTTCACCCTTGCTTTTCGTTACTTTTCGAGGAATGTAGAGTGACATTACAACTAATACAATGTTTGGACATTTAGCTGATTGTTCCTAAGTTTTATCTTAGTCTTCCCAACCCAACACCCACTTTCGAAATCCGGGATATTGTGACCCATGCGTGACTCAAAGTTCCGTTCTGGGAACCCGATACGAAGAATGTCCCTCGCAGACCAACATGTTTTGGTACGCAACTAGCATCGATTGGTGTTTATGGGTGCAAATAAAAACACACCGCATAGCAGTCAGGTAGAAACAACTTTTGGCATTTGCATCATTTGTTCCAGTGCTAAAGTGCCTTCTTTACTCATATGAACACCGGATGAATGGACCTGATTTTTAGACGAAGTGGCTGGCCCAAAGTACACAACAGTGCTACTTTTTTTATCCAAATCGATCATGAAGAACAATACTTCTAAACCACCGATGTTGAGTAGAGCGTAATCGTACTAACTTGATTTTGAGGCCTGCTGTAGAGTGTGCTGATGTGGATAAAAGACATTGGTTTTCTGTGCAAATCTGGAATCTTCGGTCAGTAGCTTCAGCGCCACGTCCATTCCATGTTATCCATTGACTGCTGGTCACGTAATCCAATGAAGTCGAACAGTATTCCGTAAAGTGGATAGCTCGCAGATGGATACTCCAAAGCTGGTGGCTGTATCATGACTGTGAACTCATTTTTTTCTAACCGTGCGATGCAACCTTAGCAAACTGGGTAGGTGAGTGAAACGCTTCCTAACTCATATTACATGGAGCGTACAAAACAAATCATTGCTGGTGAATGTCCATTATCGACGTGAAAAATCTTCCGTACGTTTAAGCCTCTCCATGATGTGTGGAATTCACTGGGAATCTGCAGTGGTGTTAACCTCAATTCGCATCCGATTTTTCACTCATTGTCAGTATTTCGGACTAGAACATTGACTCATCATTCGAATACATCGAGAATAACTGCTTTAAATCCCGCGTTTAGGAATCAGACATTGGCACTTTCCTATCCGGCACTTTTCAGTCAGCCGAAGCAATCCTACGGAGAGGCACATGCTTTAGAGACAAGATTAATTAAATGCATTAGCCATTTAGGGCCTGCGGTGTGGCATCTTCCAGATAGAAATGTTGAGTCCATCGGCAACTGGTCCTTTTTGTCCAACAGGCGAGGCTTGAAACTAACCATTATAGTGTTCGATTGTGAACCAAGACCAGTTTTGTCTTCACCACGCAGTTATTCTCATCTTTCCGGTGTAGACTGGATGGCCTGTACATACAGAACCTCCATCTGAGGAATGCCTCCAAAGCCCAAAGTCTTTTAGCGCCCCTCAGTTTTTCTGTCAGGAATAAAGCGCTGCCCTTGTAAGAAACACCAGTCCGGGAAAAAGTTTGAAGTGAACAAGTTGTACCTTCCGATGTATTTACGGTGAGATATCCGTGTTCGCAAAAGCCTGTAGTAATCGCTCGCATAATACGGTCAATGCAGTAATATAAAAAAGTGACTGGATTTCTTCCTTAACTTTGGTCTCATTTAACTTGTCAGATAAGGCAAACTGGACCGAGCTGTGCTCATCCCGAACAAGTCGACGCACGGTTTTCGGTTTGCGACCGGATGCAGGTCAAGTAATTTGTTCAGCCTATGCTGAGCCGAATACGCTAATGGATTTCTCCCCCAGCGAAAATGGTCGAGTCTATGCATCCTCGCAGCGAAAGACAGATTAGTCCACAAAAACTCTGGATGCACAAGTTTTTGACGATTTGTGATTAGGCTTCTAAAGGATATCCAAATGTTTAAATGAAAATGGCTTGTGCAACGGAAGACTTGTCTTAAGAACTGGAAGAGAAAATCACCCCACCTGCTTGACCTGATAGGGTTTAGAAAATAATTTTCTCGTGGCTTTATTCTGTTCTGGCTTTTTTGAGGCGAATTTCGAAGGAAAAAATAGCTCGAAGTGAAAAGCACTTCAAATGCTCCGAGAGGATCTCCTATGAAGAGGAAGTGCTGTATTTTTTATAGATGTGTTCGTGAATAGTGGTGTTTGCAAATTGTTCTTCACATCAAAACTACCTACGTTAGAAGAATCTAGATAACGTATTTTCCACGATACTGACACCAAACGATTCCGCGAAACTACGTGCGCTCATTCTACATGGCATTCAAGTATGGTTTTATTGCAGTCATGAATATTCTAAGCAACCAACGATCAGATTCAACTACTAGTTTCCCTGTCTAAGTGTGGTGGGGCTACTTCCAGAAAGAGGCCTTCCAGACAAACGCTAAAACGTACTTTTAGCAGTATGCCCTTCTGACTGTATATTCAGGCAAACTTGAGAGTTTGTTAGACTGAGCTATTCATTTATAGTATTGCTTTTCGCAGTTGGACGAATTCATAAAGTGAATGAAGGCAGTCACTCACGCAGGATTATCTCACGATTAGGGTACTCATCTTCCATATTTTTTCATTGCAAGTGAAACTAACCGGTGTGCACAGAAGTATAGTTGTCTACCAGCCATGTTTCGGTGGCGTTCGATTCCCCTACTGTATTCAGATCACAATTCTCAGTTGTAAGTGAACTGACTCCTTGTTTTATCTGTCCTCAGCTGCAACCAAAAGTGTGGAATATGATCTCCACAGAAGCCAGGGACCTGGTAATGCATCTGTTGGAACCAGATCCACATCAGCGCATGACAATTGAAGAAGCGCTTCATCATCCCTGGATTAGTCAAAAGGCTCGGGCCTCCAAAACACACCTCCATGAAACTGTTGAAGAAATGCGGCGATTCAATGCCCGAAGGAAGCTGAAGGTAAACGTAGAAACTATTCACCTAAACTTCTATGTTTGTCTGTTCTATGTTTATCACTGGCACGTAGTGCAAACTTTCTCTTTGAATCTTTTTTCAGGGCGCGATCCTGGCCGCTGTATCAAGCACAAAGTGGGCAAGTTTTTATTCGGATATCGAGGCTGGAAGCACTGAAGACATTCTAGATGAAGACGATGAGGTAACATCAGCCGGTAAGTCGAAAGTGACCATTGACCTTTCTTTTTTTCAGCCTGGGATTTCTATGTCATCTTGTGTGGGGTTTAAGTCGGTCGAGAAGACTTTGACTAGATCAATAGTTTTTTTAACTAATTGACCGGTTATCTCAGTCACCATCTCAATATAAACCGCAAGACGGTTATTTATTGGCTGAGTTACTGCTATAATCGGTGTTCACTGTGCCTAAGAGCCTTTGTGGAGTTGAAGTCTACTTATTTTGATTAGCTAGTAGTTTGCAGCAAGACCACTGACGGAATGTGACACAGGCTTTGTCAAAAGATACGGCTACTACAACGAATGGATTAGTTTGTATTTATTGGTGGCCATCTCGTGACCGGATAGTAGTCGCTCGGTTGGTTCGTGCTGCTTTCACAATTTTGGGTGGTTAAGGTTTTTCTGAGAGTTTTAGTCTGGTGTATTTTTGCCGGTCGACCTGCAGACTTGATAAAAAACATACGAATTATTCCACGTTAGTGCAACTGCCACTCTAAGGTATCTTTTCAGATAAATTGATCACCTGGAGCTTATATGTAGGGCGATACTTCTCGCGAGTACATTGAACATCAAAATTACACCAATGTTTTGCTGTGCTCCTCATACTGAGAACTGCCGTGTGATGTGTTCACACTGAGAAGAGTATTTTCACATTGTTCAAAACTACCGCCATTGATTTTTACACAAACTGCGTCGTTGACGGCCTACATCCAGCCTGGCCACTGTCAGTTTAAGGTCACTGTGTTAGTGGATTCGGTGAGTGTTTTGTCAGCACTCCTGGTTCAAGTAACCAAAATCCACTACCACCTATTTATAAACCGCTTGTGAGGACATCAGCGCCACCAATATGCTCCGTTGGTTAGTCAGAATCGCGAATCCTGTGAACGGTATTGTTACCCATTTATTGTGATTTTCTGCATTTGGGAATATTCACATAAAGGTTAGCAAAACGGCTCGTGAACAACCAGTTTGATACCTTTTGGAGTTAACCTATACAGTAGCTTATGCAGTACCGTAACTCTCTTGATCTAATCCTTTGAATTTCAGCTGTCAGCGCTGTTCTAGACAGCCTGGATGAAATGCAGTGTCTCACTGAATGTTCCGAAAAGGATGCTGATTTATTCCAATCTGTGTTCGAAGATGAACATCTTCATTGCCTTCTGGAGGTGAATCACGCATTTTCGTACTGAACGTATTTCCTGTCCATATTGCAACGTTATATAACGTATTCCACGCTGTTTGTAGAACCAACTTAATGTAATTACTTTTTCTACCCAGCCCTACCTCAACTCCACTTATTACCGTAAACTTTTTAACGGGTCTATCCAAAGCTGGGTGGATACCGAACACATATGTGCAGCTGAGAATAAGTGCGCAACTTCATAGAAATACCAATAAAAGTACTGTTAGTGTGCGGATCTCCTACGGTCAGGACAAACTTTTAGGAGTCTTTTGAGCTTAAACTATTCTCGTGAGTTATTCAAAGGGACAACTGTTTTAAGCGGTGTTTCAATTACGAGGGTTATACCTATCATGTTGTCGATCGTTGAGGGTGTTCATTAGCAGGACAGGGTTCGAGATGAACTGATTGACAGCTTATTCCAGTTAATTAAATAATGGGTTGGCTCGTCCCTACCGAGGCCTAGAGGAGAAGAAATCGCTTAACGGGTACACGGGGATCAGTAGTAGATGGATCTAGATTCAAAAAATTAAGCTGAAAACGGTGACCAATATGTTACTTGATAGTCAAGCAACACACACTGGTAGGAGGATTCAGAAGGGACATGACCAACAAAGCAAGTAGACAGTTGCTTGGATTGGGTTTAATAAGATAACATGAGCCTCGAGGTCGAGGAGTGTTCAGAATCTCAACACATGCATCAGAACTGTTCAACAACCAGTTAAATATCTGACTCGTTCGAAATGCATGGGAATGAAGAAGGTCTCTTTTGACCACCATTCCCCTGAGGCAGGTGCTGAAGTGGGTGAACACTAAAAGCACGCAGGTGGCTCAGTCGAATTCCTTACCACTAACATGATCCAAAAGAAGGTGAAACTCTTTGATAGCCCACGAACGGTTTCCTCATTTTTGGGGCTCACCAGGTGGACCCAACTCCCCGAGTTTCCATCGACCTCATGTTCTACTTGAACTCAATTTGCACAAAATTCGACGCATACACTCACCTGCAAAACAATTTGGTTTTGAATGCTGTACTAACCGAAACACGAGGAGGTCTGGTGCAGCACATTCAGTTTTTAGGAGCATCATAAACAAGAGATTCAACTGGGTTTTAGGTGAGTCTCCCATCGAAACAGATGTCAATAAGCTGAAGAAGGTGAAAGAGTTTTGAGTGGCTGAAGTCACCACAGTAGCTCCGTGGTGATTGAAATCCAGTTTTTTGACAATCCTGAATGAAAGTTAAACGACAGATGCTTAAGTAGCTCTACTAAGTTACGACCATATGTATTCGATAACCGTTTAGATTGATGTAGGCTGAAGATGCTAAACCGAAAAGGGATAGAAGTTTGTAAAATATAATAAGCTGTCATAAACTAGCACAACCTACATTCTCTGTTTTCATCAAACTGTCCGTGAGAATTCCCCTCAGAGGAAGGAGGTACTTTACCTCTCCTTTGGGAATTCTAAACTAAGTTGACGCCGAAATGAGACGTTGATTTTGGCTCGCAGTACGAAACGTCTTACTTTTGGAGTGGGGGTTTCTTTTGAACTGCTTGCTTTCGTGATTCTGATGGGAGTGATATACAATATGGTGCATGAAGTAGATGCTGTATTGCCTACAACTGTGGTGTGACCTATTTACTTGCTTATCAACTGAAACCTATTGATACTTCCACTAGAGTTGCGGTTCTTACCTCATCTCTTCACTTCACCGATAGCCAAATATTATGTTAACTATTTACTACGGAATTAGTTTCTGATTGTTTAGCTTAATTCGGGTTTTTGTAATCCGAAAAGGAAACAGGACAGGAGTGTTTAGTTGAGATGCTATGGCAGGATCAGTAACTCAGTACAATGTGAAACCCCAGCAGCTAAGTTATAAAATCACTTCATGGTGCGATATGGACCACAAAATTGGACAGACACTCTGCCAAACAGTTACTCTCACTCAGCCATGTGGGTGGTCCAAGTTGTTTCGAAAATACCGGAAAGAATCGACTTTTCGGTGAAAGTCGGTCGCCTTAACAGTAGATCAACAACTGATTGCGACCGAATTTTACTGCAGATAACCGAACAAAACTAAGTGTCTTACCATATGTCTCTTAGTTCACCCAGCAACTTCACTTTTCAGTATAGACCAACCAGCGTTCTTCACGGTGAAATGAAATCGCAATGCATGATTTAAGCTGCGTTTATAAGTGCTTCTGTCGTGGTCACATTGGTCTTTCTGTGCTCCTTGCACATCCACTTTATAGTATGGGGTACCTCAATTGTGCACATACACGGCTACACTCAAATGCATTTAAAGTCACCATCTATTTGACTAGGTACTGAGAGCAACCCTGGTCACATACGCACAAAGTTGGATTTACGAACCAAACGCTACTCCGTACATGTTACCGAATCTGTATATTTGAGCAGATTTTGCGGGAGTGACCATGAAATCCATATTTACGTTTAATTCAAGTTCACGGTGTTTTGTTTTACTTTCGTTTGCTTTTGAAAGCTCAACCCTTTCTCCATACCTGATGGCAACCTCATAGTGACCAACTAATCCCATGTCACAGCAGAGTCACACTTTCTCCTGCTACACTCCTAGGATGATGCTATCACTGAATCCGATGTCGATCTGTCACAATGACTTCTCCGCAACCCCTGTGTTCTGCGACTATTATCCTGATAACAAGGCATGGCTAACAGAGCCTTTTTACATCACAGTAGCACCTTGAAGTGTAAGTGCTTTACACCCTCAAACCGTCACCACCGGACCGGTCGGGATTTACCCAGGTTTCAGACTGCCGATAGATCTATTCGGAAAAACTTTATTGTCGTTGGATTCTTGCCACATTCCTGTATGCAGTATATGTGGATACATAGATTATCTAGCAACCAATGATCTGTCAAATTATGTCCGAAATTATGTCTGAATAATTCCAGCCATTATTGTTTATCAATCCCTCAAATAGACCAAGTATGGTGGCATTGTTTCTAAAGGACTCAGCGGTGCATAAAATTGACACTCACTGCATGGTGTCTTCGGATGCTGGAGTGTGATGCGGTTGACATTGACCGCAATTGGACGGACGTTTTAGCGCTAGTTTTTTTCAGTGAGCCTTTGAGCCTGCGCACGATAACGCACACATTAAAAGGATTTCGGAGTGAAACGTCATGGCTTACCCGTACCCCAGTTTTATGGTTCTAAGCTCATCAGTACTAAAATATACTGTGAGGCGAGTGTTAGTGACATTCGGGTGTTTTATGATGGTTATGTATTCATGAGGCCATCTACAGCCCATGGAAAAATGTTACATTGGTCTCGCAGTGCTGCGGTATGGTCGATATTAGACCTATGTTACAGGAATGTTCTTTGGATGTGCACCCGGGGCTTATAACACACGCGACTGGTGGTTGCTCCATGTAATCAGGATACTTAGCAAAAAGGCTGTAAATTCTTTGTTTCAGTAGTAGGTCTCTCTTTCGAGCCATCCATTGGGACGTTTTCGAATGATCCACTTCCGTACCTCATCATAGGCAAGAATTAACAAAGCAAATGGTAGTGCCGGAGTCCACCATTGATATACCATCGGCTCCAGTTGAATAGCCTTATTTACCCCTGGAATGTACTGCAAAACCCAGGCTACTGTGATCTCGAAGAACAATGATGTCGACAGCTTGTGATTGAACATTCCCTGTTGGAAAATAGACAGACGACGTGTTTTGCAAATGACCAAGTCCGCCCACTGCGCAATCACTACGGCAACGAAGAAGGATGTGTAAGCGGCCTTCTGAAGTGTCATCCGTTGCCCATAGGTCCACTCCTGACCATAGGAATCAGGTAGATCATTATAATTGCGAGAGTTCCAGTTTTGACTTATACCAAACAATATTCCTGGTAAAAACCCGTTGTCGGCCAGGACCACAAATGCAGCGAAGAATCCTGCAGCAGCCTGAATTGCACCAATTTGGCAAAACGCCATGGTTACTAGCCTCATGTTGACCAATCGATCTTTCTTCGGATGACGTGGTTTACGTTTCATAAGATCACTTTCAGGACCCTCATAAGCCATTGAAATTGCTGGAAACATGTCTGTGCCCAGATCTATGCACAGAATAGTGACAGTGCCCAATACCAGTGGAATCTTCAAGAGCATGAACAGAATGAATGGAAGCAGCTCTGGGATTTTCGATGTCAAAGTATATGCGATTGATTTTTTCAAATTATCGAAGATCAATCTCCCTTCTTCCACACCTGTTACAATGGATGCGAAGTTATCATCCAGCAGTATCATGTCCGCTGCTTGTTTGCTAACGTCACTGCCAGCGATACCCATGGCAACACCGATATCGGCCTTTTTCAAGGCTGGACTGTCGTTCACCCCATCACCTGTTACCGCAACAAACCGTCCTTGGCGTTGAAACCCTTCCACGATCGCCAACTTTTGTTGTGGACTGGTCCTTGCAAACACGAACTCCTCATATTGTAGTAACATTTGATCTAACTGTTGCGGAGTCATCGCTCTTAAGTCACTTCCATGGACAATACATGCATTCGCTTCCCTAGGATCGACTTGCTTAATGTCGATACCGCGTTCCTGTGCAATGTCCTCGATTGTTTTACTGTGTGGCGAAAGTATTCCCACGGACTTTGCAATGGCTTTCGCCGTGATTGGATGATCTCCGGTCACCATCACTACCAGTATTCCGGCTTGTCGACATTTTGCCACTGCCTGGGGGACTGATGCCCGAGGGGGATCGATCAGTGAAATTAAACCTACAAAGCGCAGTCCGTCCAATGGAAAATTCACTTCCTCCGTATCAAAGCAATAAGTTTCGTCGTACTGACTTGCTGGTAGTTCATAGTCACAAAATCCAAGTACTCGCTCACCCATTGCGCCTAGTCTTAGGTAAGCATCGTTAAACGCCTGCCGCATTTGGTCGGTGAGTTCTTGATCCTCTCCATGGATCATTATGGTAGAGCAAAGTTCTAGAATCTTCTCCGGTGCGCCCTTCATTACCAGCACAAAATGAGAATTTTCTGTCTCATTGCGGTGAATAGAAACCTGAAATTTTTGTGTTGAATTAAATGGGATCTCGGCAACTTTTTCATGAGTGCTCCGGAATTGCATTGTTGACCCTACTCGGTCTTCAAAGTATTTCATTAGCCCGACTTCTGAAGCATCTCCTATACACCCTCGCCGGCTAATCGGAGCGTTAGCTTCGTGGCTTTTAAATACTGCTCGATTGCACAACATCGCAACGCGACTTAATGCATTCCATGTGTGTTCATGTGGTTCTATAACAACATCGTCGTCCTCGTCAGCATCAATTACAATACCGTCACACCAAAGGTGTGCAACCGTCATCCTATTTTGGGTAAGCGTGCCAGTCTTGTCGGAACAAATACAACTAGTCGATCCAAGCGTTTCTACCGCCTCCAAATTGCGCACAAGACAGTTCTTGATGGCCATTTGGCGAGCTGTTAGAGCCAAGGCCACCGTAACTGTGGGTAGAAGACCCTCTGGAACCATGGCCACGATAATTCCAAGCAAAAATAAAGTAGCTTCAATCCAACTGTATCCGAAATAGAGGGAAGCTGAAGTACACGAAACTCCGATGGTCGCTGCAGCAATCGTTATGATGCGTATGAAGTGAGATAGCTCTCTTCCAAGTGGCGTCTGCTGGTTCTCAATCGTGGTGGTTAGACGGGCAATGCGTCCCATTACTGTGTCGTTACCCGTTCTAACTACAACACCCCTACCACTCCCCTCAACTACGTTTGTTGAAAAAAATAGTAGGTTCTTCGTTTCAAGTGGATTAACCTGCGTGCATTGTGTGGAGCGTGTTTGAGGTTCCGATTCTCCTGTCAATGAGGAGTTATCAACCTTTAAATTACTAGCATAGATCACGCGCAAGTCCGCAGGTACTCGGTCTCCACCTTTCACGTCAACCAGGTCACCAACAACCAATTGTTCTGCACTTATAATATGACGTTCGCCGTTACGAATAACCAGGGCCGTTTGTGGTACCATGGTTCTAAAGCTTTCCATTATCTTGGACGATTTAGACTCCTGGTAGTACGTGAATAGCCCGGAAATAAGGACCACTGCAGCCAGGACTCCTCCTAGGTATAAATTGTCATTCTGTGGGAAGCGTACTGTAGTGTATTCGATAGTTCCTGCAATAAAGCATAAAATAGATCCAATCCATAACAAAATAGAAAACCCCCCAAGCATGCATTTGAGTAGTCTGACCCATTCTGGAATCGTTTTGGGCGGAGTTACCGCATTTGGCCCGCACTCTTCCAGTCGTTTCTTGGCTAGTGATTCATCCAAACCCTGAACAAGATCGGTCCCCAGTCTTCCACATAGCTCTTCTAAATCCACCTGGTGCTCCTCCATTTTAACTTCGGCCTTTAATGCACTTTCATCAGGCCCTCCTTTCTTTTCTCCGCCATCACTTTTCTTGAACATGCCTATCAATGTTGTTGGTGATTCGTTTGTTTGTTCTATGCACACACTGAACCTGGTGTTTGGCTGTTTAAATTTTTCGATCTCTTCCAGTCAGCTGACGCCTATATGACTGATTGAAACGTCTGACTAGAACATAATAGGAGTGGTAGTGAGAATGCAAGCAAAGGATTAAATAGGACTGGAAGCTTGTGGTTTGCGTGAACTAGAATCCAATCGTATCTGGTCGGTCAAGAATGAAGGTGCCACTTTAATTGGAAGCATGGTAATCGTTCATAACAAAAAGAAGCCTCTAGCTCTTTGTGATGACCTCAGAAAACCAAGACAACAGCTTCCAGCCACTGCTTCACCGAACTAGTCTCAACAACTTTTATAATTTAATAACTTTGCAATTAACTGTCTTCCTTTCGCCTCCTCTAACTTGGGGATATCGTAAAAATAGGATGGCGATACACATTTTGGAAATACTAGCTGTCAACGATCGCATATTTATCCGCCTTATTTAAAGAAATTGCTGTTGATTTTGCCAAACGTGCGTTACTCTGTGCAAGAACATTCCTTGTGGCCTACTTGTCGCGTATTATATATATATATATATATATATATATATATA